CCCCCACACCCCACCCACACCCACACCCCACCCACACCCCACCCACACCCCACACCCTATCTCGCCCAATCTGAAAAAAAAGAATAAAGGTTATAAGTTATGATATTCGAAAAGTTAAGCATGTCTTATAGGTGGGAGCAAACGATCAAGAATGAAAAAAATTCAATCTCAGATTCATTTTTCAAAATTTTTGTCCTATCTTATTTCTTGCAAACATTCAATTTTGTCTTTTTCGTTCTTGAAAGTCTTTGATGACACTTTATAGAAAATCGTATTTCTGATAAAATAGCTTTTCTTTCACCAAAATATCGAAAATACAAAGTTTTGGGCGTGGGTGAGGGGTATCTCTTTACTGTTGCCTGGCATCCACACCCACACTCACACCCTTTATTTCCATATTATTTGGTGGAAAATTAATAAAATTAACATTGCAAATTAAGAAAATTAGGAGTATATTGTTTAAACAATGTTGAATATTAATATTTCCTATGCATTTAGAAAAACAAATGAGGAAGAAAATACTTTAACATCACTCTCAACTTTGGATGATCATTTAGTTACCGTGGGGAAACAACAAGGTAAGTGTGACATAACAACTGACGATGTTCAGGGGAACAGTAAATGAGTAAAGAAAGCGAGACGCTTGGTACGCAAGGTCGTCCTAAATGGACATTTTTCAAGACGACTTTCGTTCTACTGTTTCAAGCTTTCCTCCATGAAACTCAACTATTTTCCACTGAAAAAAGAAACTTTTGAGAGGTGTGGATGTTCTTTTATGTTCTCGCACCGCAGCCCATATCCACACCCCACCCACCCACATTCACAACTCACACCCACAATCACACCCCATTTTAAACATCAGCCGTATGGAAAATATTCTCGCAATCTATGTGTCACTTTTGAAGTACATTCACCCTATACACACGCAAAAATAAAAACGACAAGAGATTTTTATTCGAGTACACTTTATACAGTGATGTGCCTAAGCCAAAAGTACTTACAAGATAACTGGAAAGAAGATATCGAAAACTGTCAAAATAAATGCGAAAACCTCAGATTTAAACCCAAGTGTTATGTGTACTTCAAAAAGTGAAAAGGTATATTCACTGTGTTTTTTATCACTAAATTGCAGGGAGAAAATACAGGCGTGCTAAGTTAGCATGGACCACACTGTATGCGACCCTATCCGGTGACCACTGACTCTACTCTCAGAGTAATATAATATCTTTAGAAATCACAGGAATTGAGTTCAGATTCGTGTTTAGCTTGGAAAACTGGTTAAGAAGAGTTATTTTTGAATGGATTTGCGTTTGTATCCAGCAGGATTACGATCGTAATCAACCTCAGCAATCTATAAGAGATATATCACAGATACAACCATCACTATTTTCCTAATAAATCATCAATATTAATAGCTATCGAGTTAGGCTTTTTACCTATCGATAGTCCTTTTGACTAGCTACTAAATCAGGCATTTTGGAAACTCCAAAACTACTGATCATCTGAGATACATCTAGGCAATTTGGTTTCTGGATGCAGTTTTTGTGCATTTTGAGACCTTTTTCAGACGATGTTTTGTTAGAAAGCTACGATTTGGTTCAAAACTAATATCAGATTCGGAATCACCGTTAAAAACTGAGTCGATATATATATCTTGTAGAGAATTCGGAGAAAAAAATTTTTTTTTTGAAAAAATCCCTGTACCCCCCTCAGGGATGGTCTGGTCAATAATGACAATTTTTTCGATAACTCAGCCATTTCTTGATGGATCCTTCTCATCTTCGAACTCGACCGAGATATTGATGAGACAATTCTGTGCACAAAATTTCAGCTCAATCGAATGTAATTGTGAAGAGTTATCGTGGGCACGGACGGACGGACGGACACACTGACCGATTCTAGAGTGTACTCACTTTTCGAGTACACAAAAAGGAGTTCATGTTGGTAAATTGGAGCATAGGTTGGACCTCGCATTAAGCTTATTCAAGGAATAAGAATAAGAGAATAATCGACACTGTTGTTAGTATCGTTTTATTGAAATATTTCGTTGTAATTGCACAGTGTGAGTTCTCCCTTTCTCTCAATACACACTTACAACAACACCCATGCATCACATTTTCTACTTACTTTTGTCGCAATGGCATCTTACGGTAAGCTTTAAAAATCTTTCCCTTTTGTTTCTCAGGTGTGATACTTATTTCTCGTCATTCCTGCTCTTCTGTTCTTTAGAAAGCAAACAGTAGGGCTTCTGTGCTATTTTTAATTTTATCAAGTTTTCGTACATTGCCGAAGTAGACAATTTGCTTTTCTTAAAGTAATTTTTTCTTTCAAGAAGTGACCAGCGCAGCTGCATCTTCGCAAAATGATACAAGAGCACCACTCATTCGAGTTTTTTTGATTGGCCCCAAAGCCTGTGGCAAAAGTTCAATTATACATGCCGTATGTGGCAAGAAACCAGAAGACGTCTATCAAGAAATATCTGAAGATGAAAGTGGATTTATATTAATAGAAGCACCCGATTTAGAATTAAGTGATAACATGGAAGCAGTTAAAAGAATGCGGGAAGTTTCGAAAACTTGCCATGTTATTTGGTTCATATTTAGCCTGGAGTCCTGCTGGGATCATCATTATGCAAAGCTATTAGAACAGCTTGCGCCGATCCCTGCTGTAATTATTGTAAATAAATGTGATTTTCTTCAAAAAATAGAATATCCAGAAAAAGTTATTAAATCTTATCATGACGGCATCGTACTAAAGGATGAATTACATTTTTCTTCACTAAATAACTTCATAGGGGTTCCTGAATCGAAAGAAAATTCTATATTTAAAATGGGACATGGACAAGGTATCAATATTTTATCATGCGAAAATGATCACGCAGTTGGTTTAAAAGATCTATTTGCAGAAACATATGAATGTGTTAACGGAATACCAAGTCAATAATTTGCCAAAATAAGAGAGTGCTATTGCAATACTGAAATCGAAGAATTCATAAAAAAGATTGAAAATGTCGTACAAGAGTCTGGATCGCCTGGTAATATATATTTATATTATTTTTGTTCCAATTTGGTCACTCTTTGGAACTACACTCTTTTGAAAGTGAAAACGATTTGGAGAGTTGTTTATCTGGTTTGTACAAAATAGTACATGTTCAGACCAACTATACTGGTATCCGATTCCAGTAGGCTTCCTTTGACAGACATCAGTGGGAAATTCACCAGTTTTTGTAAAAAAATAGGAGTATTATATTACTGTTATTACGGTAGTAACAGTTTTGAAGGGTAATACAAATAATGAAATAATAAACTACTTAAGTAATAAGTAATAAAGGTAATAATTGTCACTAGCTACCACCAGTAATAACAGCTAGCCAAAAAAAAGTCATCAAATAATTAAAGTAACACACATATTAGATAGTAGAGCTACTTGTCTGACAGGGTTCTGTGGCACTGCCACTGAAGTTGAGTAGGTCATAATGATGAGACTGGTACGGTTAGTAAAGAATTATGTTGTAATATGTGGGTTAGGATGTGAGGGCGAGAATAAGAGTGGGTTAGAATAAGGCGTGAGGGTCATTGAGGGTGAGGGTAAAGGTGTGTGAAATTTTATGTCGGTGTTCTTCTTCTGTGTGTCAATACCCTCTTTGCTACACGATAACTCGAGGAGAACTCACGATATTGACTTGACTAATTGCGTTGAGTTCCATGTAAAAAAATTAGGGTAGCAATAAAATTAAAATCGATTACCCAATGATTGAAAACCGATTATAATCATACCCCTTTAATCGATTCCGAATTGATTTTAATTAAAAATAATCCAAAAAAGCAAAGTTACATCGATTATTCCGATCCCTTTAGATTATAATGGATTACAAATTTCTGAAAAAATTGATTGTAATTGAAAACAATCGGAATAATCGATGCAACTTTGTGTTTTTGGATTATTTTTGATTATGATCGATTCACAATCGCCTAAAAATAGATTAGAGGTATATGATTATAACCGATTTTCAATCATTGTGTAAAGCCCTCCCCACAATAGAAGACCCCCCACCCCCCGACTCACATCACGTTCAAGCGTTAAAACGTTCAAAAATGGTGGTTTTAAAGGGAATGGAGTTACATCATAGGGGGGTCTTCTAATGTGTCCATGGCTTTAATCGATTTTAATTTGATTTCTACACTAAATTTTTTACATGGGTTAACCGTGGGTTTCTCATTTCTGAAAGTTTTAGCGAAAACCGGCGTAAAATGCACAAAGTGCGAACCGGCGAGAAATTTTAAAATCTTTATTATTTAATTTATTATTAAGATACAATTTACACAATCAAGTGCATCTTGGCTTATGTATTCAAACGTACCGAAACTTCCAATAAAAATCAATATCATGCTGACGATTTAGCTCGATTGTATGCTTTACGAAAATTTGAAATCAATACAAATTTGATTGGCGAAAAACTCCAAAAAGACAAAAACGAAATAATGAATGCGCACACGAAAAGAATTTCAAAGGCGTTGGTAATAAATTTACTTGGTTTCGCTAATGACAATGAAGTGTTGGAAAACGAAGATAGTCGCGACAATGAGAGTACAGATGACCAAGAGATATTTAACTTTAGTGACGACGAGTCGAATGCTGATGACTCGAATATTTTAGTTAATGCTGCTCAGAATGTTTCTACAAGTTGCGGTTGGGAAGTTCAAAATATAATGGAGAATAAAAACAAATGGGATATTACAAATGATCTTAATTCGATATACGCATTGCACGGCGCTGGCTTATGTTTACAAGACATATTCTACTACTTTTCAAATGAAAATATACAAAGAGCGATTATTACAGACTTGTTACCTCCTTCAGGAACGTCACCAGTAACAATAGAAACAACAGCTTTGGATTCATTAGCCGACCCAACTTTTTGCAATGAAAACGTATGGAGTCAAATACCAGATGACGAATCCGGTCGGAGGCTGAAAAAACTTGTCAAAAGCAGCTCGGAAAACAATCGTGACTGGCGCCATAGCGAGGTAATTCAAACTGGAAGAACAAAAACTCGATTAGTTTATATAAAATGTAAAAATGGAGCTCGTGTTCTAGCTGTTCCGAAAGATCCGAATAATCGATACATCGTTTTTATTCACACGAGCGAACCAGAAGAAAGACGGTATCTCAATGGTGGTTTTCAAAGACTCATAAAAGCATATGGTGATGACGTAATTAAAAATAATAAAGAAAATAAAACAATGAAGCGAAACGAAGGAGAAAACTCTGCAAACATAATAAAGCTTACGTTATATAATCATTTATGGAATACAACTGAGCAAACACGATTTGAAGTGACATCCACAAATCCGCCCGATGATTAATTCAAAAAATAGACCAGCCTATCTCTTAACGAAAAGACAAATCAATCTGCTAGTCTCAACTCTTGCTTTTCGGCAACCGACCTAGTTGAACATCAAATATTATATATTGAAATATGCTTGATTTAAAATAATCATATAAAATGCAGTTTCATTTCGTCGACGCTTTTCATGTATTTATTCAATAAT